CCCAAGGCATGGTGACCCCCTGGCTGCACCTCCCACTCAGTACAGGGCGGCACAGCCCCAGTTCTGCCAGAGGCCAAGACAGCTCCTAAGTGTTTTGGGGTGCCCTGCGGGACCCCCATCAAGTGCTAGGTGTTCCTCCCACAATCCTCTAGTGTACAGGTATTAGCATAAGGTATTAGCATATGCTAATACCTGTGCACTAGAGGATTGTGGGAGGAACACTTAGCCCCTGATGGGGGTCCCACAGGGCACCCCAAAACACTGAGCTCTCTTGGACTCTGGCAGGACTGGGGCTGTGCCACCCTGTACTGAGTGGGAGGTGCAGCCAGGGGGTCACCATGCCCTGGGGGGTTAGGGGACAGAAGGGGATATGAGGTGCAAGGGCCATTCCAAATCATACATTGCAGGGAAAATACTGCTTTATAAAAGTGGTTTTTATAGGGAAGGTTTATCCATGACACTTTGGGAATGATGCTGATGCTGATTCCTGTGATTTCCCCAAATGTGGGGAACTCAATTGCATAACTTATGTTAATGGAAAATTGTACTCTTTTTCATCTCTTTCTTCTCATTAGGACCTATTGCAAAGGTAGCAAGTCCTGGTGATGTCTTACATTACAATTTCCTCTTTTTCTGCCCTATGTTAAAGGATCAGGGCAAGCGGCATCACCATAATCAAGAGCCATCTTTGACTCCTTTCATTCTCTTTCTTTGTTGCTGGAGAGAGAAAGTGGGGGAAGGTCATCTGAGACCCATTGAATTTCCAAAGGCAGTGCAGCTGAAGGGATTGTTTTTCCCCAATATGGTATGGGTAACTGTATTTTGCAAGACAATGTCTTCTATGGAGAATTTTCAGAAGACAGTGATTTTTCCCCCCAATTGGAATGCATTAAATAGATTTCAGTGCATTCCGATTTCCATGGAATGAATTAAAATCATCTTCGGAGGCACCGCTGTAGTCATTCAGATACATGTTGTTTACAGTATTTCTTTCAACTGTAAAGGCTATGCTATACATATACATTGTCTTGCTGAGGAAGGACAGTTTGACTTGGCCCTAACTGTTCATTAGATCAGGTCACACATGCCAGAGTCTCCTACCAGCAATGCCATGGTGAACATCCACACTGGTTGAGGGCTTCTAGGAGTTGCAATTTTAAGTTACAGTACTGTATTTTTCAAGGTCTGGTATTGCACCTTACTCCTTACTGCATGCTGCAGTTGTAATGATAAACTTGTTGGTATATACTTTGTTTTTAATATGACAATACACAGCAAGCCAGCCTATTAGCCCATTAAATACCACTTTAGGTTTTGCTGGTGAAAGGTAAGCTTCTTAAAAGAGCTGTCACTGGAGACCAAGACCATCCGCACTCTTGTATTCCTGACCCCCATGTATGGTTGTGAAAGCTGGACAGGGAAAGAAAGCTGAATTCGCTTGGAGTGCTGAAGGAGAACTTTGTTGATACCCTGGAGTGTCAGAAAGCCCAACAAGAGGGTCCCAGATCAAACCAAGCTTGAACTATCCCTGAAGGTAAAAAGGTTGAGGCTCGGGTTGTTCTACTTTGGGCAGGTCAGGGGAAGGCAGAATTCTCTGGAAAAGGAAATAATGCCGGGAATGGTGGAAGAAGGCAGCAGGAAAAGAGGAAAGTCACAGAAGAGATGGACTGACTCCTTAAAAGGAAGCCACAGGCTTGAGTTCACAAAAGCTGAGCAAGGCAGTTGAGGCCAGGTCATGAGGGAGAGCGCCC